TTGGGGGGACAGGGACTCGAGGACTGAGAGGGGGTTAAAAAGCCGGGGGAGAGCGGGTGGGGCAGGGCCTGGGGGAGGAGTCCAAGGGGGAGGTGGGCGGAGCACGGGGCAGCCGAGGGTCTCTCCTGTGTCTGACCCCGGCTACCCCCTGGCAGCTGCCTTGCGAGGACCAGATCATCCTACTGAAGGGCTGCTGCATGGAGATCATGTCGCTGCGGGCGGCCGTGCGCTACGACCCCGAGAGCGAGACGCTGACGCTGAGCGGTGAGATGGCCGTCAAGCGGGAGCAGCTGAAGAACGGCGGGCTGGGCGTGGTGTCCGACGCCATCTTCGACCTGGGCAAGTCGCTCTCCGCCTTCAACCTGGACGACACGGAGGTGGCGCTGCTCCAGGCCGTGCTGCTCATGTCCTCAGGTAAGGGCCAGCGGGGGGCGGCCGCCCCCTCACCCACTGGGCCCTGCTGCTGGGGAGGGATATTCCCATCATGCACCAGGCCACATGGCCGATGCTGCCCATGGGGTTAGGGGCTGGTTCCTTCCTCCTCCTGTGAGCTCAGCTGAGATCTCCACAGCCTGCTCCCCCGCATCAGCTTCCCTGGCTGGGGGTCCCCATGCGCTGCTGGTGCCCACTAAGAGCACCAGGGGAGAGGCCCGGGGCGCAGGAGACAAAGCCCCTGGTGCAGCCAGGGAGCCCAGAGCCGGAGCTGTTGCTCAGGTATCCGAGAGAACTGGAGACGGAGGGGTCGTGGTGGGGCCAGGTGTTGGGCTAGATGGGGGCAGGGAGAAGTGGGGGGCAGGGAGGGGTAGGTAGCGGGTAGTTGTGGAGATGAACGGATAAAGGAGTATTTATGGGGTGGAGGGGTACAGGGGTAATGATGGGACTGAATAGCCAGAAAGGGAGAGTGATGGGTTTGGATGGGTAGGTAGGGTGGGGGAGTCGTTTGGGGGGGGTTGGAGGAGCACAGGGGAAGAGGTGGGGTGGTTGGATGGAGGAGGCAGATAGCTAGCGATGGGCGGGACAGGATGTGGCGGGGGTTGGATGGAGGGGGGCGGATAGCCAGCGATAGGCGGGGCGGGAGGGGATGGGTAGAAGGGGCGGGATACGGTGGGGGTTGGATGGAGGGGGCGGAAAGCTAGCGATAGGCACGGAGGGCAGCCGTGGGGCTAGCCCCTCGGGCGGAGGCTGCGTTGCCCCCGTCCCCCCCTGACGCCCGCCCGTCCCCCCTGCAGACCGCACCGGGCTGCTGCGGGTGGAGAAGATCGAGAAGTGCCAGGAGACCTACCTGCTGGCGTTCGAACACTACATCAACTATCGCAAACACAACATTCCCCACTTCTGGCCCAAGCTGCTGATGAAGGTGACCGACCTGCGCATGATCGGCGCCTGCCACGCCAGCCGCTTCCTGCACATGAAGGTGGAGTGCCCCACCGAGCTGTTCCCACCCCTCTTCCTCGAGGTCTTTGAGGATCAGGAAGTCTAGGGCGGGGGGAGGGGAGGGGGCGAGGGGCGGGGCCAGGACTCGAACGAGAGCCCCGCCCCCAGCCCCTCCTGGACACGTTTTACTTGGTTCTTTTTCGTTTTGGTTTGTTTTTCTAAATATTGCGCGTGGGTGTCACCCGGCAGCGCCGACACCACCACCACCACCCCCGCGGAGGGGGTGGGACCGTGGGGGCGGGGCTGCTGTCGGGGTGGGGGGGAGGGGCAAAACTTTTCAAAAACCACACAAAACATGAGCTTTTTTGGGGGGTGCGGAGGAGTTGGATTTGGAGTAGCAGGGGAGGATAAGTGGAACCTGGATCTCCTTTCCTCTGAACCGCTCAGTTATGGGGGTGCTGGGGGGGTGGATACATAGCCCGGATTTCAACCCAACTGCAGGAAGAACCCCCCCACTCAGAGAGTTCTCCGTCCCATCACCTCCCTGGCACTAGGCTCAGCTGGCACCTCACGGCTCCCCCCAAATAAACCTCTCTCGTTCCACGGACTTTATGAATTTTGTTTGTTTGCACAGGACAGTCCCAGACGTCAGAGCGTTTGTTTCCTTTATTATTTCCTTAGGTGATTTTGTTTTTGTTCTTTTTAGCATTTATTCCCTCCCTGAGAGGCTAAAATATTAACTAACTGCACTTTGAGAAGAGAAAAGCTATTAAATTATTAGAGGGGAGAACCCGGGCGCAGGGAGAGGGGGTGAGGTTGGGGGGGGGGGTTCGGGCCATGGAGCCGAGCGTGAACGACAAATGCACTTTTTTTATTAAAAGACAAAACTCCAGCGGGAAGTCGCTGGTTAGATTCCCAGGGGTGCCTCGATTTCCCATCGAACTACAGGGCGCGAAGCCAGGGTGCCAGCTGAACCCCGTGCCAGGGTTGCAGGATTGGACCAGCAGAGAACGTCAGCTCCCTGCTACACTGGAGAATCGGGGCTCCGAGGTTGGGCTGTCAGGTCCCTTGCCCTCTCCCCGCCTCCCCCCCCCACAAGAACCCGCCACTTCGGCCCATCTACCTCTTAGGCTGGATGGGGCGGGCAGGTCTGTCCTGACACCCCAATCCTCCCAGCACACCCGCCTCTCCCCCAGTGCAGGCGCCTGCCGAGGGCCGTAGTTCTGACACTTTCCCAAAGGCGAGGCAGCGGTGGGCAAGGGAGAGAGGCTCCAGCCCGCAGGGGTTGGGGGCTGTGCTGGGAGGGGGCGAGGGGGAAGATAAGAGCTGGTCGAAAACATTGGCTCTAAACTGGCTCTCGCGGGACAATTTGGTTTTCCATGCAGAGTCTGCTCCCTGCGGAAAGTTTTGATGCTTCGTTGACGGAACAAACACCAGAAAACCGAACGAGCTGAATTCAAAATGGTGCCGCCGTGCCTCCTGGGAGTTGTGGTTTGGGGGCCTTGAGCTCCCATTCATCTCTATGGGATGGACTCTCTGGTTGGAATCCATCTCCCATGATGAACCAGGCCAGAGGCTCCCATGGGGCACCTCCTGCCCAAGAAAAGTCACTGGGGCATCATGGGAGATGGAGTCCAGCCTAAGAAACCAGCCCCTAGAGGAGAATGGGGGCATGAGACATCTGAACTACAACTCCCAACAGGCAGCGCAGTGCCATTTTGAATGGAAATATTTCGGTTTTCAATATTTTGCCAAAAAGTCGTAATTTTCTTTGGGGAAGCTGCCTATTTTCTGACCAACTCCCCCTGCCCAGGTCCCTGCCCCTGCCCCTCCAGTGGCCTGTCTGTCTCTGATACCCCCAGGGCAGGGACCATCTGCCCATCATCTCTGGTAACATGCCCCCAGGAGAACCCCTCACTCAGCAAGGGGCCAGGGAGGACCATGCGCTGAGCCCCACCCACGCCGCTCCCCATCGGGCCCACACTTTTAATGGGCACGCGCTTTCCACAGGACGGCCCCCTCCCTGCCACTGCTCACTGCACTAACGCCGTCAGTAGTCTGCCCTGTATTGGCCTGCAGCATGCGCTACCCTGTCCCTCAGCTATGCCGTCCCAGTGCCTAGCTCGCCTCACCACCTCAAAGCCTTGATTCTCCGTGAGGCAGGGGTGCGCGGGGGGAGGAGGGATTGGGGAGCCCTGGAAAATGGCACTTATTGGGCACAGGGGCCGGGAGTCCGAGCTGAGGCGTTTGCCCTTCCTAGGCGTGTGGGGAAGCTAGGGACAGGCCAAGCCGGGGGAGCTGCGTTGGTCGCTTTAGGTTTGTCTACCTGCCCTGATCTCTCTCCCAGCCCCCGCCCCGATTCCTCCAACAGCCAGAGCCCCGTGGTCACCAGGGTGGGGTGTGCACGCTCCCTGCTGTGCCCGGGGATCCCCCTCGCCCACCGTCCCCCTCACGGCCCCAGCCCGTGGCCCACCCGCTCTGGGAAAGCACGAGGCCCAGGAGACACGTCACACCCGAGCGGCGGGCGTGTTTCGGCTCAGCCCCGGGGTGCCACCCACGCGTCTCCGATCCCGGCTTGGCCGGGCCCGCGTGTTTAACCCCGCGTTGTCCGACGCGGCTTCCCCAGCGCGGGCGAGTTCACGGCACCGCCGTTTGGGGACTAGACAATGGCATTGCCCACCCCTGCAGCCCGGCAGCAGCCACAGGGGCACGCTGGCACGACCCATCCTTAAAGCTGAACCAGCAGAACTGAGCCTCAGCCGAGAGCGACGCGGCGCTTGTAGCAGGGAGCTCCCTGTCCCTCTGCACTTAGCCAGCCCCGTGGGCTGCGGCCCGCCTGGCTCTTCCGTCTCTGCTCCGCTGCTTTTTCCTTTTCTTTCCTTTGGGGGGGAAATAACAATCGTAAAGGAATTTAAATCGCCAGGGGGCAGATCTAAGGCCCAATGGGCATCAGCCTTTCTGGACTTTTCAATTTCACTCCTTGTGCGGAGAAGCTGCACTCACTCACCCCTGCCTGTAGGGGGCACTTACTGGTAGTCAGCCACGCTTGGACACCCCCCCACACATGCCACCCCCCACCCCCCCGTTTCCCCAGCTGTCTGTCAGCAAAGCCCCGGCCGATGATTTGCGCCTTGTCTTTGTATCTATCCATCTATATCAGTATCCAGTGGAGGGAGTTCGTTTTTAAGCTTTTTCTTACCCGGTTTAGGGCGTGAATTTTCGTTTTCTTACCTCAGTCGAGAGGCCAACGGGGATGGGGGGTGGGGGATCGGCTTATTCTGAATGTACCGTTTAAGGTTCAGGTCCGGGTGAGGAGAGCCACCGCAGGGTTAACGCCGCTCCGATTTAAGCTAATATATATATATATATATATATAATTATATATATAAATTTTTTAATTAAAAATCTTTTTACGGGTTATTTTAAAAAAAACAAACAAACACACAAACCTTTTGTTGTTGGTTGGTTTGGTCCGATAGTGCTTGGTGGGCTGGACAGGAGCCCAGCCACCGCCGTGACTCCGGACTTGGTGGGCGTAGGCCGAGGAGCTGCCCCGTTAGCGGTGTGACCAGGGCGCCGGAGCCGGCGGCAGCCAGGGAAGGAGTTGATTCTGGCGGGGGGGAGACAGGTTTTTGGAGCCCCCTTTGGTATTAGCCTCACCTGTTGCAGTATATTCCCAGAGCCACCTGTGTTTGGGAGAGATGGAGACGCGAGGGCCCGGGCCCCCACAAAGGGCCCAGGTTTTCAAACAATCTCAGCACCCAACACGCACCCAGCGTCGCGGGCTCCGTGGAAAACCTGGGCCCAGGCGTGGGTGCCGTCTGCTTGGAGCCGTGGCCCATTCTGTAAATATAGGAAGGAGTACGTTTCCCCGCAGATACTCTGGCTTTCTGTAATCAGTCCCACCTTCCCTGGGGTGCTATGAGCAGCAGCGTCTCGGCCCATTACTTAGCATGCCAGCTCTCCTCCCACTGGTTGATGCTTTTTGTAAAGCCCCAGCTCCCGGAGTCATGGAGTTGGGGGAAACTTCAGCTTTCATTTAAAAAAAAAAAGATTTTTCTCTCTCGTGGTTGCCGAGAAAGGCTAGAAACCAGGAAGCGAGTGCAGCTTGGAGGGCAAGGAAAAGGGACCCAAATTGGATGAGTTAATCAAACAGCGCCTGTTTGAATGCTTGGGGCTGGCAATTGGCTTCAGAACCCGGCAGTCTCTTCCCCACCTGTCAGCGCTCCGGTTTGGCACCGAGCGGCTGGCACAAGGCTGGTGACGGGCACAGCATCTTCACCTGTTCCTGGTCTGTGCCGGAGGAAGGGGGCTAAAAATGGATCAAATCGGGGCTGGTTTTGATTTCTGCAAACCCTGGGTGAAAGGCTGGTTCTGATCCAAACCCCCAGTGTGGGGGGAGGTGGTTCTGATTCTGGGGCCTCCCTGTAAACCCATGGAGAAGCTGAGACTCCTGCAAGCTCTCCTGCCCCTCCCAGGCTCCCCTCCTCCCCCCGGTTAAAGCTGTAATCAGGGAGCCCTGATTGTTCCCCAGCACTGATGGTAGGAACGCTGTGGGGTGCTTGGGTCGTGCTTATGAGTGGGTGTGGGGGGGCAGCTCAGCTAGCGACTGTCCCCCCCCATCCCGTTGTCCGTCCCCCATCACACACAGCCCAGGGAGGGTGCCGCCCCATGCCCCTTCCCCGCTCTGGAGCGAGCGGCTGCTCCGGCATCAGGCACGTCAGTTCAGTGACAGCGGGGCTGCTGATTGGGGGGGGGTGTGACCTCGTCTCCTTGCACTGTTGGTGCAAAATGTCTTAAGCTCCTAGGAAAACTGTGAAGTCCCCACCCTGAGGAAACACACTGCCCTGCTTACCTCAGCTCTGCTGAGCAGCTTGTCTAGGAAATAGGGTTTGGGGCGGGGGGGCATCAGGAACCTTCAGCCTCCCCTGCCCCCCAGTCCTGCCAGTTGTTTTGGTCTCTGAGGGCGGGGAGGGGAGGGGGATCCGGGTGTGTCTGCAATGTGACCAGGTCCCTGGCTGGGGGCTGTGCCAGCCCGCAGGGCCTTCAGCCAAGCCTGATGCCCAAACACTAATGCGCAGAGCTGGAGGGGCCTGGCTGCCCATGGGTGGCTGTCGAGGAAGGCTCTAAATTTGGCCCACCCTGCCCCTCCCCCTAGTATGAGACCCCCTCAGCCGGCCCCTTCCCCCACCCCTGCTAGCCTGGCACAGGACTGGGGCGCCCTGTGCCCATGAGCAAAGCAGGTTGCACAGTTCTGGCCTGGTTCTGAGGCCTGACCCTGGCGGAGGTGGTGCCGAAGGCCTCGGGGGCAGGGGACGGGGGGAGCCGGGGTCCCCACTGCTCAGGGAAATATCGCCCAGACCCTGAGGGGGGCACAGGGCAGGGCCTTGACAGGGTCCTGCTCATGGTGGTGGAAGGGCTGGGCTGCTGGCCTAGTCCCCATTGCAAAGCGTGTGTGTGTGTGTATACACACGTGTTTGCACGTGTGGTGTGCATGTCTGTTTGCACGTGTGCCCATTTATTTGTGCAAATACACTTGCGTCTGTGAGTCTCCGTGTGCGCAAGCATGAGTGCATGTGTGTGCCCAGCTCTGGACACGTGTGTCTGATTGCACGTGCAGCTGACCGATCACCTGACACGCTTGCTGCCCAGTGCCATTTCTCTTCTCATCACGGCTGCCCCAGCCCCTCCACCACTCAGCCACCCGCCACGGCCTGCTCCCCTGGGCCTTGGCCAGCCAGCGTCACTCTCCTTGGGGGCTAGGGTGTGAGCAGGTCCGTGTACACAGCAGTGGGTGCTGCGTGCTGTAGTGTTTGTGCGACACCTCCATCTCCCTGTGCCCCCGCTGAGACTCCCAGCCCCACGGCTCAGTCGGGGAAGCTCCTTGGGAGTGCAGGGAGGAAGATCCGTGACCATCTCCCAGGTCCCCCCCTCCCCTGGTTATGCCGGCAGCGCTCTGCCCCCCTGCTTCCCCCGGCAGGAGTTGTGCCCCAGCCCCCCCCGGCCAGCCAGGGGCAGGGGCTCAGCCTGGGGGGTACACCAGCTAAAACCACCCCTACCCCTGCAATCTCCCCTCTTCCCACCATTTCAAAGGGGCAGAGAGTCTGCAGGAGCCTTCAGACAAATCCAGTCTCCGGGCAGGCCTCCAGGCCAAACCCCCCCCCCCACTTGCTGGGAGGGGGCCTCAGGCGTTCAGGGCTCAGAGATGCTGGGGGGGCAGGGTTGCAATGGTGTTGCTGAGGGAGCCGGGGAGGACGCTTGTCTTGTGTAAAACACCCCCAGTAGTGGGGCCCGCGACTTCACTCCTGGGGGACGGGTTCAGTGCCAGCCGCCTGCGCGCGCACACACAAACCGGGCACACACACACACACACACACACACACACACACGCGTGCACAAGTGGGGCCCCACCCTCGCGTTACACCCCAGTCTTTGGTGGGTGGGGTCCATGCCCCCTGCTGGCCGTGGCCGGCTGCTCCCTCCGGGGTGGCTCTGTGTCATATCTGTTGGTCCCCGTTGCAGTTACACGTCCAGTGTCGCTATCTCCCCCCGTCTCTGCTCCCAGGGGCCCCCCCAGCCCAGCTCCCCCATTGGGCAGACTGTGGTATGACACCTCTGCTCAGGGGCGGGGGGGCTGACCCCCAGAGGGGGACCCTATTTAATGCCAGAGGCAACCTATGCCCCCCCCCCTCGTGTTCCCACATCCCCTCCCCCCCTCAGTATTTGGTCACCAAGCACATACCTCCTAGCTTCTGGACCTGGTACTCCCCCCCCACCCCCCCTCCCATCGCGCTGCAGGGGAATGGGAGGGGAGCAGCTTCAAATCCAGCCCATCTCTAGAGACCGTGAGCTCGCTTGGGGGGGGGGGTCCTTCCCTGTTGTGTCCAGTCATTGGGGGGGCCTCCCCCCCACCCCATGTACTATGCATTGTGGCTCCCGCGGCTGCGGCAATGTGGAAGGGCAGTGGCAGGAGTTACTGAATGTATGTCGGTGTTTGGGTCTCGGTGCATTGGGGGGGCGGGGAGGTGAGACCACCCTCCTTCCCCTCCCCCGTGCCCCACGAGGGAGGGGGCCGGGCGGCAGAGAGCTGCTGCTGTACATGACAATCACAGTGTCTGTGACGTGCGATTTTAAACCCTTTGTGTTTTTGGTCAGGATTTTAAAGAAAGATATTTTTATGGTAATTGTTGCTGGTCTATTTTACTATATATTTATGTAATAAATATATGATGAAAAACAACCAACCCCACCCCCACCGCCCCGCTGGCCTCTGATTTCTGGGTCCAGCTGGGAGGGCAGGGGTGGGCACCCCGTCACTGCAGGAGGCTGCAGAATTTGGGGTGAGAGGTGGGGGGCAGGGCAGTGGGGCATTGCCCCCCCAGGGGATACCTGAGCCAAATTGGGGCTTGGGGGGTGGGGGGCACGGTTCTAGCCTGGTGCTATGGGGCTGTGGTGGTAATGAAGC